TTTGTCTGGTTTATTTCACTTAACATAATTTTCTCCAGACTCATCCATGTTGCTGCAAATGTCAGAATTTCATTCTTTTTTATACAGCCCTGTTTTTTTTTTTAAAGGTATCTTTTGTAGCATTTATTGCAAGAAAACCTTAGCTTTTAATGTATTCTACGAAGATCTCATAGTGTAGCTCAGGAGTGTGTGTAGCCTTCAAGTGTGCATGTTAGTAGCATCCCCACCTCCCACCCCGAAGTCCTAATGAAAGGGAGAAAACCAAAGGATGACGTACTCAAACAAGAGAAAGAAAAAACAAACAGCAAACACCCTCTCCAAACAACATTTAACTAATACCACGGCCTAAACACTCTCCTCTTTGCTTTATTTCACCTTATATAACAAACTGTGATTATAAGTTTTTAAATCATTTCAGCAAAATAAAGCAATCAACGTTTATCTGGGAAAAGTTCACATAGGATCAAACAGAGAAGTCAGACTACTTTCCCTCTCACCACGTTCCCCAAGATCCTGATTCTCAAGCTTAAAACTTGGAAAACTAAGAATATTTCAGCCACTGACCTATTTCAGGAAAACATTTCAAGTTTAGTCTTAGGCTTATTGCAAATAATGAATTTGGAAAGTGGGTGGGGATTTCTCCCTACTAGCAAGCAAGCAAGCAATTCTCCAGCTGACACCAGCTGATTCTCCAATTTTATCCTAACACTATCTACCTGGAGTTACTGGCAGATCCCACAGGTTGAAGACTCAGTCCCCAAGACTGCCCCGCAACCACCACTTCAGATGTCAGTTGCAAGTCCAGACCTCTGGAACTTCTGACCAACCAGCTATTATTCAGGGTTCCCACAATCCCCTCCTTGGGTTCTATTAGTTTGCTTGAGCTGCTCACAGAATTCAGGGAAACATGTACTTATGTTTACTGGTTTATTATAAATGATATTACAAAGGATACAGATGAAGAGATGCATAGGGTGAGGTATGGGGGAAGGAGAATGGAGCTTCTGTGCCCTCCCCGGGCATGCAACCCTGCAGGAACCTCTACATGTTCAGCTATCCAGAAGCTCTCTGAACTCAGTTCTCTTGGGTTTTTGTGGAGGCTTCATTTCACAGGCATGACTGATTAAATCACTAGCCACTTGTGATCTACTTAATCTTCAGCCCCTCTCCCTCCTGGAGGTTGGCGGGTGGGACTAAAAGTCCCACTTTGGTCTTTTCTGTGACCAGCCCCCATCCTGAAGCTAACCTAGGGGCTCCCAGCCATTATTAGCATACGAAAAGACTCAGAATTTTGGAGATTCTAAGGATTTTAGGAATTGTATGTCAAGAGATGGGGATGAAGACCAAATACAAAGCTTCACAGTAACACAGGAGGTTAATTAAAAATACATTAAGAAATATCCCCCTGGGGCTGGCTGGTTATCTCCGTTGGTTAGAGGCAGCCTAGTTCAGATCCCAGTACCGGCCAGCTGCCAAAACAAAAAAAGGAAAAAAAAAAAAAAATCTCCAATCCCTTTAAAAATTGTTAACCTATAGAAACTGAGTTAGGATTGATGGTCTGGTTATATCTGCTCTTCCTGTGCTACTGCTATCTAATTTCTCACCAGGATACTGGCTACCCTCTCCCTGATTCAAAGGCCTTTGGTGACATCTTGTGAAAACATATGATACTGCAGCCTGCACACCAGAATGGCAAATAGAGACCCATCTTTCCAGGCTATCCACTGGACAATGGACACCAGGAATGACAGCCTGGCTTGGGGCCTTACCCAGAAATAGACTGGTTGTGCCAGCCAAAGCTCAATTCAGGAAAAAGGAAAGCAACCAAGGCAGGGAAAGATGCCACTCCCATGGCATGGTTCTCTGGTAGTTAAGATGAAAGACTTCACGCACCTGATGACAAGTCTATTCCACACAGTGAGAGAACTGCCCACATCAGCTACAGAACCAAAACTGTTCCTGAAAAGACAAGGTCAACAACCTCAAAAGGTTGGCTTTGACACTCACTCCAGGGCCACAGCTGATCACAACTTGCAGTGATGCTGCAGGACAAACCATGTGAACACCTGGATTTCCCCCATCAGCAACGCTTCAGGTTCATTCTGTGACTTTCAAACTGTGCTTCTCCAACGACCCTGGAGGAAATGCTCAACCACCAGGGATACATCGAATGAGACACCATGTGTGGTGTCTGTTAAACAGAGCGCCGTTCATGCTCAATCTGCTGGCTACCACTTGCAGGTAAAGAAACTAAGGCCAACAGATTACACAACTTGCTCAAGATGACTCATCAAATGGCCAAGAGCTGACTTAATCCCAGGTCTTGTAACTTCAAAGCATCTTCTACCACCTAGTGCTTCTCAAACATTTCCACTGAAGCACCCCAACAGCTAAGGAAAGTGAGCCCCTTCCTACCTTGAATACATTGACAGAGCACAACTTACTGCTAAGTCTTTTCCCAAAAATGCATGCAAACTTTAAACACTAAGAATTCTCCAAACTTTCTACTATTAATATCAGCACTTCCTATCAAAATTTAAAATACACCCGTTGTTTCCCCTATCTCTTGGCATACTGCCACATATGGACTTATACCCCACTGTGAGCAGCTCAACAGCTCCTTCACCAGCCGACTTCCTTAGCCTACTCTTCAAATGGTCAATTATTAGAAAAAGATGCTCAACTTTTTTTTTTTTTTTTTTTGTGGTGGCTGGCCGGAATGGGGATCTGAACCCTTGACATCGGTATTATAACATTGAGTTCTAACCAACTAAGCTAACCAGCCAGCCCCTCAACTCCATTTGTTAAAGATGTACTAATTTAAAGTAAAGTGACATGTTTTCACCAGATAGGAAAAAAATTAAACCAATAAAAACACAGTTGATGAAGGTGTGGGGAAGATGATGGAGAGGAATTTGGTATTAATTTGTGGATAGCAACTTGGCACCTTCTAAAATTTAAACTATGCATTCTCTTCAGCACAGCAGTGCCAACTAGGACATTACTAAGTGTACATCAATAGCAGACTGGCAGAAAAATTACAACATATCCTATATACATGAACCCTGTGCAGTTGTTGTGAATGAGAATTATACTATCAGAGATGTTCACGGTGCAGTAAGAGGAAAAAAGCAGGTAGGGTAGTAGGTAGAGTATGACCTTAGTATCTGTAAAGACGTGGTCTTGTTAATACACAGAAATTTCTGGATGCAAAAGACACTGTATAGGGACTTAGCTCTGGGGAGTGCATAGCAGGAGACTTTTACTTTCCTAACTCAGACCCTTTTGAGCTATTTGCATGTTTATTAACACAGTGCTTAAAGAAAAATATTAACTGATTTGCGCTTCTCAGAAAGCTCTTAAGTATTACATTTAAATATTCCAATCAAATCTGACGACAGAAAAATGAACAAACTAATAAATTTACAATCCTTCTTTCTGACAAAATGTGGGTAATGCTGTTTGTCCTTTAGTCTGGATGCTCTAGAACAACGCTATACAATATACCGGAAGCCACCTGCCTAATTTAAAAATGTCAAGTAGCCAGAGTAAAACAAAACAAAAACAGGTGACATTAATTTTAATGTTTTATTAATCCATCACAACCAAAATATTATTTCAGCATGTAAATATTTTTAACAATGATATTTTATTACTTTTTTATTGTCCTCAAAGCCCAGTGCTTTTGATTCTCAATTTGGAAACATCTCAATTTGGACACTGAATATTCATCAGAAATATCTGATCTGTATTTAGATTTTACAAAATTTACACTTGACAAAATAGACTTACATACCTAAGTTCCTTACATAAAGTTCTCTGATAAATGAACTATTAGTTTTTAAACTTAAATAAAAATTCAGTTGTACTGGCTACATTTCAAGTGCTCCATAGCATATATGGCTAGTGGCTGCCATATTGGACAGTGGAGATACAGAAAAGTGGTTTGTCCAAGTGGGGTCCCCAGGCCTGCAGCACCAGCATCACCTGGGAACTTGCTCTTAGTGCAAATTCTCAGAGTCTACCCCAGTCCACAGAATCAGAAACTCTGGGGGTGGGGCCCAGCACTCTGTTTTAAGGAGTCCTTGAGGTGTTCTGATGCATGCTAAAACTTGAGAACCACTGGCTTAGAATACCATTAAATAAGACAGTGAAGGGGCCGAGCCCGTGGCACACTCGGGAGAGTGCGGCGCTGGGAGCGCAGCAGCGCTCCCGCTGTGGGTTCGGATCCTATATAGGGATGACCGGTGCGCTCACAGCGCTTGCTGGCTGAGCGCGGTGCGGCCGGTCTCAAAAAGGACAAAAAAAAAAAAAAAAAGACAGTGAAGAAATAGTTTTGATCACTTATTTACAGAATGCAAACTGAATACAAACCCTGCCCCGTTATATTTTGAAAGTATGGAACCAGAAAAACAAGAAACTGTTTGGATTTTTATTAATCCAGGTGCAGTAAACTGTCTCAATGGGATGTTTGGATTACTAGAAGGTAATCCTTGACTATCAGGACCGAACTCGGATGGCATTTTGTTTCACCTTACTTCCTGACACCAAGGTCCCAGGAAATGAGTGCTATCAACATGTATCAAGGCTGCCAGCACAAATCTAATGCTGATATACACATTATAATGAACTACATGTTCATCACTGCATGAAGTCATGGCCAGCAGAAAAAACAGCATCAGGCTGCGAAGGGTGTATTTGTTCATCATCTAAACTGTGAATGACTGTGGACCACACACCTGTTTATCCTTCGCCCCACCCACTTCTGTTTGGGCATTCTGCTCTTCAAAACTATTAATACCCAGACCCCCATAACCTCCAGTAGTCAAGGAAGCCCTCTTTCTGCTATTATAGTTTTAAGTCACTTCTGGAAGTTTATGTAACTTCAACACCAGACAGAGCTTTGTCTTGAACAGCTGGCATTTTGTGACTTTCTTCTCAGTGTTGTCCACGTACAAATTAGGATGTCTAACTGACTAGCTTGTTACTAAAAATTGTGTTTAAGAAGTCGGCTGCGGCAGGGTCAGCAACTAATAGTCCACCAAAACAAATGTCCTTCCTTCATAGAAGGGAATACCAGACCCCTGAAGTCAGAAATGGTCACATGGCTGTGTTCTCTCAGGGAATGTGAGTGGAGGACAAGGCAGGCAGAGGTCCTTCCTCCCTCCCTTTGATCAGAAGGCCATATCATTACAGAAGCCACATGGTAAAGATGGAGCTACAGTCAGTTATACGGTTTAAGTGATAGAAAGTTCCAGAAGACCAGTTCCTTGACTGACTTAGCCCAAGACAGGGCTGTCCTGCAATTTGGCTCACTCACTCGGATCCTTTGCTCTTTAAGCCTTTTTATTTTATTTCATTGTTGTAGTAACTTAATCTACCTTGGAGTATCACTTAATATCCTTCTGATTTTGCCAAAGAACTTGTATATTTTATTAAAAGTTTCAATAAAGATTCAGACCGTTTGCCACGAGAACTATGAAAGTATTAGAGCATAAATGTTATCTACAAATTTAAAATAATACACAAAAGTAAGCCAATGTGCCAGCTTGAATAACAGATAAAGTGATGTCATCTCTTTTCTTACCACCTAAAAGAGAACAAAAAGAACGGATTTTTTTAGATTTGTCTCGATTCCCTAAGAAGTGGTTGATGTATAAAAAGACCTTGGAGGCCAAATAAGGTATTTCAGAAATCAACTATAAAATGTTACTACTCGATTAGACCTTGTGCTGGAATGAACTGCATTTATAAGTTGGGGTTCAAGTCCCATATCACCTTTCCTCATGATGATGTTATATACCACTGGAGCTTGTCACCGCATGTGGTTAGTAATTAACTGCATTGCAATGACTTTTCAATATTCCCTACTGAGACAAAGAGCTGCTGCGCCCAATATAAATGTAACTATATTTACACATGCCATTTGAACTAATACCTGAATCGTTTGGCCAGCCAACTGGAAGACAAGGTGTTCAAAGCTCCCGATGGCTTAGATTCAGAAGCTCTTGTTGCTGAACACCTATGCAGAAAGGTCAGATCAGTAGTCATTCACCCACTTCATGCACTTACCAAGAAAGCCCATATAGGTTTATACAATTAGGCAGTTAACCCTCAGCTTGGTTCAGGTATGGACAACATGAGAAACAATCAAATGTAGTTAAAAAGTGACTTAGGCTTCCATTTTTATTCAACAGCAACTTTAGGCAGATATTTCTACTGATTTGACAAAGGTACTAGTGTTATGAGTTGAATTGCACCCCCCAAAAAAGAGATGATAAATTCCTAGCCCCCAGTACCTCCAAATGTGACCTTATTTGGAAATAGGTTCTTTGAAGAGGTAAAGTTAAGAAGAGGTCATTAGGGTGGGCCTACAGGACTTATAAAAAAGAAAAGTTCAGACAGACACACACACAGGGAGAATGCCTGAAGATGAAGGCAGAGATTGGGGTGATGTACCTGCAAGTCAAGCAAAACCAAAAACTGCCAGCAAACCATGAGAAGCTAGGAAAGAGACACGGAGCAGACTCTCTTTCCCAGCCCTCAGAATGAGCCAACCCTGCCCACACCTTGATCTCGGATTTTAGCCTACATATTGTGAAAGAACAAATTTCTGTTGTTTAAGACACCCAGTTTGTAGTATTTTCTTATGACAGCCACAGGAAACTAATACAACTAGAATCCAACTTTAATTCAGAATCAATTTTATTATATTCACCCCAACTCCTACAGCAAATATTTAAGATCAACAACTTAGTATGCAACAACGCTCAAAGTTATTGCATTTCCCACCTTAGAATTTAGGCTGGGTGTTATATTGAATGTTATATGTTATATTGAATGTTTTAAGACAGCTCCGTTGTAGCTAAGAGTCTCCTCTCACCCGGATTTGCTGGTGGGGCGGCTATCATGTTTGCAGCTGTGGTCCAGAGGATGTCTGTGCTGAATACAGAAATTTCCATGACACTGGACACAAGGCACCTGTAGCATCTCTTTCTTCTTACATCCCTCTTTTGAGCACCGGTATGTAAAAACCTGAAAAAGAGTTACTTCAGTATTTCAATAAGCAATTCTTTAATAGTCCCCCAATAAGACCATTCACATTTAAGCTAGAAACAGTTCTTAGCTACAGAGCATGAAGATGTCAGGGTTTCATTCAAACATCTTAGTGTCAGGTAAAGAGACAAACATTAATTAAGGAGACAGGCAAATTTTAACAAATGGTAAATACAAAGGCAGCATTTAAACTGGGGATTCATGTGAAGATGGACTGGCGGTGTCCCCAGAAAGACAAAAAAGAAAAAGACAACAGGGGAGCAGGGACACCTGGGAAGGAAGGAGGCCAAGCAAGGGTGTGACAAGTATAGCCCCAGACAGGGTAACTAGTTCTGAGGAGCTCTGGGGACAGTGGAGGTTGTCCCCATCAGGGACAAGGGAGCTAGAATATCTTTGTCCCCCACATCCACGAGTCATTGAGTTTTTTGGGAGGGGGAGCAGGTGATATAGATTTCCAGGCACCTCCAACACTTTGTGAATTTAAGAAGGTAAGTGAAGGGGGGGGAGAGTGTCCAGCAGCCTGAGGGCAGGCCTCTGGCAGAGACAGGCGTGGCCATCACGAGTAACCATGCAGCAGGAACATGTGCACCTGCAAAGTGCAGGAACACGGGGGTGCAAGCAGAACACCGAAAGTGTCTGCTACAGAGGCAGGAACAAAGTGAGCTAAGAGTACGAAGGAGGGCACACCTACACCAGGGGTAGGACAGGAGGGGGAAGGACCTAGGTGGCAATTCTGGGTTGAGCCAAGAATGAGGGGGACCTTGCCAGGTAGAGCTGCACTCTTGACGTCCAGAGGGCAGAGGGTCTGGGTGCACAGCAACAGTAGAGTAGAAATAAATAGGACTAAAAAGGGGGATTGGAGTAAGCTGCTATACAAAAGGATTTTCATGTGGTACTAAGGAATACAGATTTCACTCTGTCATGTTTGAGGTTGAAAACAGAAAGTAAAAGTTAACAGTCCAATGCTACTTTGCTTGCATAAAAAAGAAAAAAAAAACAGTTAACGGGCCTTCACATTTACTTATGGTAATGTAATTGTAAAGTATTTAATGTAACATATTGACTAAGATAGCTGACACCAACAGAACAGATCTATGACTAGAAACTGATTTAAGCTTGAAAAAGCCAATTCCCTAAAGAAAAGCTCTTTTTTTTTTTTTTTTTTGTCTTTTGTCTTTTTCCGTGTCCGGCAACGGATCGCAACCCTCAGTGTTGCCCCCGTACCGGACTGGGGACCGGCAACGGGATCGCAACCCTCAGTGTTGCCCCTGTACCGGACTGGGGACCGGCAACGGGATCGCAACCCTCGGGGTCGCTCCTGCGCCTCGCTCAGCCAGTAGCGGGAACCGGTCCGTATGTGGGATCCGAACCCTCGGGCGGGAGCGCCGCCGCGCTTCCCAAGCGGTGCACTTATCCAGTGCGCCACCGGGCCGGCCCGAAAAGCTCTTTAAAAATCCAAAAGTGTCCATATGCTTGTTCTAGAGAGCAACAGGACAAGAGAGGGACCCTGCATCTGAAAAAGCAACTAGCCTTAGAAAGAACAACCCAAATAGACCAGTAGGGCCCACAGGGAGTGCGAGTGGCAGAGCTGGTCCAGACCAGACCCAGGAAGCAGCCCTGGGGAAGGCTCTGAAACTGCAATCCCAGGGGAAAAGACAGACGGGGACATGCAATCTACAGAAGGCGAGCTGAAGCGAGTCTCCTCAGACGTCTGGTTAAGGAGGGAGATCTGAACACATGTATTGGTTCTGCCCCCTCCTGAAATACCACAGAAGTGACAGAAAAGAGATTTTCTGAAAAGGCATAAGCCCACAAGGGCAAAGAATAAAAAGAAAACAGCTACAAGATTTTAGAAACTAAAAAAACACATGGCAAATAGTAATGAATGTGTCAGGCAAGAGAAAGTCAAATTGTAAGCTCGTAGGAAAGTCAAGAAGTAACCCTATTTATGAAACAAAACCTCAAAACCTCAGAAATTGGTACTAAAAACTCAGGGTGGAGTGGGATTACCACAGGAGAAATGGCCACAAGTCTGTTTAAGAAAAAGACCCAAAGATCTCTACTCATCACCAGCAAAGACTGGTGCTTATGCTCTGGACAGGGCCAGACCGAAATTGCTGGCCTGGGGAGCACAGGAGTGGGCAGGAGTACCACCTCGAAGTCAGAAGGGGCCATGGAAGACAGTGACAAGTTCATGAGCTACAAAGATCTCAGGCTGCTCTTTTTGCCTGACTCCCAGAACTTGGAGCCAGAAGCGCGCGCTCCAGGCAGGAGGACAGAATGTCTTCTCTGGGAATCCAATTAGCCCAAAAGAAAGACCTAAAGACATGAACTTCAGGGGCTTTCTGAATGAGTGGGCCAGGCAGATGACCCACAGCAAAGACCAGAGTCCACTCTGCACTTAATGAGCAGCTACCTCCAGATCAGGCATGTGAGGAGGATGTTTACTGTGACACACAGAAAAGGCGAGTAAAGAAAAGCAACCTGGGGACAGACCTACAGGAAGGAGAGGAAACTTGTCCCAGGCTCTAGTGCCTGGGAGTACTAGGAATCTAGACAGAAGAGGGAATCTAGACAGGACAGAGAAATGAGCAGAAGAAGCCAAAGAAATGCAAGCGGACGTTCCAGAACCAAGGAAGGTCCAGTGTGCTCAGCACATAGAAGATCGACCTACACCAGAAATGTCTAATATGAAGCTTCCAACAAAAAGATACTCCAAGCTACTGGGAGAAGAACTGGTTCCACAGAGGACCAAGGACAGGATGGCTTGGGAATTCTCTAAACCAAGAGCAGACACGAGAAAATGAACCAATGCCTTCCAACATTCTAGGGATGATTTTAAAGCTAGGATGCTAAACCCAGGCAACTCATCAAGTAGAAGTGGAGAATAAAGACCTTGCGAAATGCATGATCTTGGTTTATCTCCCAGTCTCCCTCCCAGGAAGCAACCAAAGGATGTGCTTCCACCAAAATAAAGGAATGAACTAAGAAAAAGAAAAACACAGAATATGAGAAACTTGGTTCTATTTTAAGAGAAACACAGGAAACTCAGATCCATTGAAAGGCAAAGGGAATCTCCAGGCTATTGCCCTCAAGGTGACAAAGGCTTGGAACACCCATCCAAATGCACAGTCCAGCTCCACTGGGAAGATGGGCGCTGGGAAGAGAATGTGTGCATGAGTGTTAGAATGAGGGACAGGAGCTAAATTCTCAGCATATATTGTAAATAGGTAGTGCTTACAACAAAAGGGTTTACAAAACAAACTCAGGATGCAACAATACACACATTTGGAGAAAAAGTAGCTATCACAAACGAGACTGGCTAAAAGCTAAAGGCGGTTGCCTATGGGGAACAGAGGCCTGTTTTTCCCAACATGCTTTACTCCGATTGAAAACATATATAACTTTAATAAATGTACTGGCACTACCAAAACAAGAAAACTGAATGTCTGAGTTTTATATCCTCTTACATTTTCCTAAGAGCAGCTTAGAAAACAAATAGAAAACTACATTAATTTTCCATCTTAAGAGAAAAACTGATAAATTCCTGCAAAGAAAGAAGACTCACCCAGGACTCCTAATATTTAGAGAATATAACTAAAAGCTCATGCCATTCACAACATAGGAAAATGTCAATATATCATTAGGGTTTTACTTTGTACAAAAAGTATCAAGACCAATTTTTAGTTAGAAAATAGACCTTCCCCCCACCCCAAGGAAAAATCAATATTCACAGATCACAGAACTGACACAGAATCAGTCCTTACCTTCTCTTTATTCTTCCCAGGATGATATTTACAGTCTCTGTCAATGTGCTCACCAACCACCACATCTGGTATTTCTCCCTTTTTTATTGGGATGGGGATGTTACAAAGCGGGCATACCGGGACCTGAACATCCTAGAAATAAAAAACATAAGAGATATTTGAAATTTGCCAAAACTCACAAAAAGGTAGAATAGTACAGTGCACTTAAACCCAAATAGAGTACAAAAACTGATATTTTGACCACTCATGAGAAAAAGCACTGTTAGTATTATGGATTAACAGTAAGGCATCTCTGGAACTTCAGGGTAAGTTGCCTTAAGTGGAATCTAGTGGAATTTAAATATAACGGACTATCAACCAACCGTAGAAGTGACCCTAAAACTGAGCAAAAGGAAGCCAAAGAAGGAAGCTGGTAAAATCAGCCAAGGACCATATCAGGAAAGCGGGGCTGCCTGTTCAGCACTGTCCAGGTGGGAAGAGAACCCACCCAAATACCTCCAGAGTGCAGATGATAGAAGAAAACACTAACCATGAAGATCCCTCATGTCACTTCAATTGCCAACAGCCTCTCTGATCCTTTTGTGGCTTTTATATGCTGGGAGAGGGTCACTTATCAGTGGACAAGGGAGCACACACCGAGGCTGAGTTCTCAGGTACATAACAACCACTGCTGTTTCCAAGCCCAAGACTGTGGGGGCTCTGGAGGGAGTGACTGGAGTACCTGCAGCTGAATGCCCAAAATGGTTTAAAAAAACCTCTGAGCCCGAACAGGAACCAAGGGGGACAGTCAATGAAAAAACTGAGGTGGCAGCTGATATCAAATAGGTGGCAGGTAATCACAGAATTTAGATGGCAGGTAATCACAGAATTATAGGGGCCTATTGTCTGTGAGTTGTGCTGGAAGAGTCACCAAGTACTCCCTCAGTTGGCAAGTCTGCCAAATTAAGAAATAAAGCTTTACGAAATGATCTCTAGCCAAACTCCTCCCCGTGTAGGGACACGGGAAGATCCAGCTGACAAATAAACTGGATAGTTTGACCTAGTCATCAGTGCTTGGTAAATATGGTGAATGTGAGTCAGCCTCCCCTGCCCCACCACAATGATCTAGAAAAGACTGGAGGGTCAGACCCTGTCCAACACTGATCAAAGCATGCTAAGTCATCCACATTTCTAACTGCCACCACGGTGAAGTAGCAGAGTTCACTAATCTGTGGGCCACCCAGAAACAAGTGACTATGGGCTAGAAGCCATCTGAAAAGTCAATAACAAAAGACTTCAACCTTTGGACTTACGCAAGTGAGTTTTTGTGAAGTCACCTTTCTGTTTCTCTTGTGTACTACTTTAATCACTTAAATATGACATCAAGGCTGCAAAGTTACCCAAATATATATGCACCTTTAATACCCCTTTAATACCTTCCTGATTTGATTCCACACCAAGGATTAAAACACTTCTTTCACCCCATAAAGACATAGCTATATTTTTCCTTGGTGTAATGGATCAAAGGAACTAAGTATTTTAACATGTAAAAGTAAGCTTTGAAGGTTAGGTTACAACAAGAATATGATTCCACAAGTCTCTGAAAATAATATATCAGTTGCTTTAGGGGCTGGCAGGTTAGCTCAGTTGGTTAGAGTACAGTGTTATAACACCAAGGACAAGAGTTCCGATCCACATTAAAAAACAAAAACAAAACAGATATCAATTACTTCAGAGCTGTGCTGTCCAACAGAACTTTCTGCAATGGTACAAATGCTTCATATGTGCACTGTCCAATACAGTGGTCCTTGGCCACATGTGGTTATTAAACACTTGGAATGTGGCTACTGGACTTGAGTTAAATTCAGTAAGTTAAATAGCCATATGTGGCTAGTGTCTACTATATTGGACAGTGCAGCTTTAGACAATGAAGATTAGAACCTTCTGAACAAAGTAAGATGAATTACCTTCTTGAATGCAAAGGGACATTTATGTGCAGCATATGTATAATGATCTTTACAGAAATCTTGTTGACATACATCACATTTCAGTGGAAGAAAATCTAAAAAAAAAACCAGTAAAGTGTTTTAAAGACTAGAACAAAAGAATTATAGATTATGCTAGGCAGATATTTACCTATACTAAGTGCTTTGTGAGTATGAGACAAATATACCCTCAAGGTATTACACATGAGAAAGCAACTTTGGGGTCATGAATTTCATAATACCAAACAACATTTAAGAATCTATAAAGCTGTCTTTTCAAGAGAGATCCCATTTCATGTACTATCACAGGCATTTAAGCAGACTTGTATCCTCTTAATCCTGGCAGCCACCTAGTATCTGGCCTTGGGTGGATGCTAAATAACAATGTTGACCAGAACTTGCTCTTTATGCCAGCTTCCCAATATTGAGAACCCAGAAAGGCCAAGACACAGAGAGTTATCAGCTACTTAATATAACAGCCAATTCTCCCCAACAAAATACCATTGTCTATTCATATTCTCTTAAAATTGCTTACCTAGCTGCTTGCAAGTTTTTTCTGAACAATGCTTCCCCAAATCAGGAAACTCCATTATGAAAACAGTGTTCAAGATGGCAGAGTTAAATATCACCTAAAAGAATTAGAATAGTTAGGCAGAAAGCAATGACTGCCCTAATTTAGTCACCAGGATCTACAATTTACAGCTAATGAAAGTAAACACGCTCTTTAGGGAGCATTAAATGTCCAGGTCATCCTGGGCCCCTGCACAAGACGAAAGCACCACAAATTCTTGTTGTCTTTCAGCAAAGAGAAAAATGGGAGTTTTAACACAAATACCAGGTCTCAGTCATTCAGAAGCAACCCGATCAGGAAAGACAAATTGCTTTTTAGTCCTTTTAATTCCTAGTTTATGAAGCTCACCCCCAATTCAGGTTTTCACTAAACCATATTTCAATTCATACTGATAGGGGCTTCCCATGTTCAATTTACACAGCTGCCAGTGAATATTACAATCTTGGTAAATTTTAAGTCACAATTTCACCTATGGAATATGTTTGCTGACATGATCAAAACTTTGTTACTAGGTGTTAAATCACATTAGTTGAGTACACTACCCAGAGGAGATTTAACTCTGTCCCTTGCCTCTCTCTTTAATTCCCTTATGCATTGAGTATTACTTTGAACTTATTCCTTAATGACATCAGTCTGGAGTTGATAAGGCAGAGGCACAAGCAATTAACTCACCATGGAAGAGAGGTAGACAACTAGTGAAGCTACTGCACTTGAGAGAGAATTAAGGTCCGTAGCAGGGCTTGCAAGATCCCATCCGTGATCTGGCACCCACCAAACCTCTAGTCCCTCCCAGAATTCAGGTCCCCAGGGCCTTTTCCGGATCTTTCCATCAGCTTTCTTCGCTCTCCTGGAGCTCTCTCATAGGCTGTCCTCTATGCCTGGAATACTCCTGTCTCAACTAACATCTACTCACCCACTCAGGCCTCAGTTTAATATATCATTTTCTCAAAAAGGTCTTTATAAACACCCTCACCAGCCCCCATTTTAAGTTACACACACTCTACTTTTAAAGGATCCTATAATTTCTTTCCCAGCACTCATTCAGCTTTCAGCTCCACCGAGTGCGGGGACCGTGTGGGGTTTGTCCATCGTTTAAGAGAAGAACCTAGCACAGTGCACGACACAGAACAAGCGTTCCGAAATGACTGTTCAAGGAACTGACCAGAAACTGATGTCAATTCCGAAGATCTTGTTCTTAACAGCACAGCAGCGGTCTGAGGACGCCCGACCTTGGGGGATGCGGGGGTTACTCTGCTGTGACAATGACGCCTCGTCCGTACAAGCCGGGGACCGACAGAGAAGAAACACATGCAGCTGCGAGGCTGTCACTCTGCTGGAGGGCTTACGACCCCGTCTGCCTCGGCACTACGCCCCTTGCGCTCCTGGGCCGGCAGGAGGCTCGGACTTCGGGTAAACCAGACCCACTCCCGATCCCGTACCTGGCTCTTGTCAGGGATCCGAGCAGCCGAGTGGACCGGCGGAAGGCGGCGGACATGAAAAAATGAGTGTCCCTCTTCGTGGTCAGCCCCGGGGAGCGAAGCAGAGAGAACGACGACACCAGAACTCGTACGGCGCCCGAGGCCCACCCGCACCCACGGCAGAGAGCGGCATCATGCCGCCCAGTACCAGCGGCCATTTATTCAGTTTCCCCGTCCGTAGCCCGGGCATTCCTGGCGCGCCCCGATTACGTCACCCACAAGCTTGGCGATCTCTCCCTCGCCGCTGCTCATTGGGTCCGGCGCGTCCCGAAGACGTCACGGACACTCAGCCAATCCCGCCCCGCCTAGACCCCGTCGGCCCGCCCACTCCTAGCCCCTCCGCTTTCTTTCTCGAATAGTCCGGCGGCTTCGCGCAGGCGGCGCACGGGCCGTTGAGTCACTCTAGATCACGCTGAGTCACGCTGAGGCGGTTTCGCGCAGGCGCATCCGAGCGGTCGCGAGGCCCGGGCCCCTGAGTCAGGACGGGAGAGGCCGGGAGGCCGTGGGTGCACCCCGAGGTAGCCTGAGTCATGTGGCTTTATCGGTCTATGAGAGACGAAGCAGCCGGAATCCTGGGCTGGGCCGCGGCCGAGTGTCGTGGGAGAGTAAGCGGCCCCTCCTGGGGGCCGCTTGCCAGGCAGTGAGGGGCGACAGGGCCCTAGGGACAGCGGGCGCGCAGAGGGAGGCCAAGGCCTGGAGGAGGCAGGCCGAGTGACTGCACATCTAAGGTTATGCTGGAGTGTCACAGAAAGCCTGTATTTTAAAAAAGAATGTATTTTGAAGTAATTTAAAAGTTACAGAAGAATTGCGGGAGTAGTACCCAAAATTTTTATGTCTCTATCACCTAGGTTCCCCAATTTAACATTTCATTTATTTTGGTCCATTGCACCCTGACCCCTCTACAAGTGTATAGGCACACAGTCGATTCTCTTCACTGGCAATAGCTGTGTTCTGTAGAGTCCAAGCAAACATCGAATTAGTGGGAAAGTTGCATTAGGGAATGCTCCTGAGGGAGTTGCTCTCAGGGGAAATACGGGGATATGTTTCTCTGAGCCTCTGGTCAAAACATTTTCGTCAAGCAATCGTTAACCTTATTTTATGTGCTTTTCTCTTTAAGGACACCTCATTTAATGTATATTGTTGAGTCATTAACATTGGGTTCATGGTCAACAGCGCTATAACTCATGCCTGACCATAGATCATCTAACGGGTATTTTCTTCGTGAGGCACATCCCAGCCTGCTTGCAATCAGGAAACTAGACAGCACTTGAGTGCTAGGTCGGGAGGCATCTAAATGGCAAAACCGCCAACCAGAAAGCACAAAAACGCAAAAAGCATGGCCTTGAGTAGGCTGTGAAAAGGATATGTGTTTACAGAATAAGAGCTGAAACAGGGAGGAAGGTGTCCTACACAATGAGGAGGGTATTTCGTGTTCAATCTCAAGTGGAAATGTGTGACTTGGCAAGTCAAGATTTTCATGACTCTGCCCATAAGGGAAAATGGCCTCAAAAGCCCACTGTAAGTATTGATTTTGGGGTTACAAATAAATTTTAGTGGTAGTGTGGGGAAAATACAATAATTCAATCAGGCTCCCTTGCTCAGGTCTGGTGGGGGGGGGGGGTCCAGCAGCACATTTCTTGTAAACAAGTTGTGTGGGTGGAGTTAGTGCGCATGTGAGCCAATGTATCTTTTAGTTTTGTAGCTATTGTGTGTTCTGCAGTTTATGAAGCAGGCTGGCCGTAGAGAGCTCCTGTCTAACAATAGGGCATGTTTACTCTGCTGGGAGCTGCTCAGTTTGTTTTTCTTTGGACTTTGCTGGTAGCAGTTGAGTTTCTGAGTTTCTTTTTGTACTGCCTAGCTCATAGTGTAGTGTGTGCTGAATAAAGACTATTCCTTCTTCAACGAAGGCTCCAAGGACCATTTTGTCCAGTTACCTAGCTCATAGACCTGCGTGTGAAGGATTGTGAACGGGCTCCAGGGGTCTGTGAGCTCCAGACCCTGGCCCTAGCTCTTCAGTAGGAAAATTCACAAATGAAGAATCCACAAGTAAGGAGGACCAACTGTGTTTGTATGTTTGTATTCATACGTGTGTACCCTTTTTCGTTAGTCTTTTTCTGAGCCATTTGAGAGCATGCTGTAGACATGATACCACATCAAATTCTGAATACTCCAGTGTTTATTTTCCAAAAGCAGCCATTTCTACATACCACTCTTCAGCCATCCATGCCAGGAAATCAGTATTGAAATAATACTAAATTCCAATCCACAGAGCCCATTCAGATTTCACCAGCTGTGTTAACAATGTCTCTTCTTCCTCTCTGCTCCAGAATCCCATTCATGATTACTTACTCAGTTTTCTCCAAGCTGGAATATGTCCTTGGACATTCCTGTACTTAATAAAGGGCAGAGACTTTTCATACATATAAGATGACCATTAGTCTGGGTCCATTGATGTTTCTTCAGAACCAGACTCGGGTTGTTTTCTTGGCAGGAGTATCACAGAATTGGTTCTGTGTTTTTGGTGCATCACACCAGTTGGCACAGGATTCAACCAGTCCTACCATGGGTTATGTTAATCTCGATCACCTGGTCATAGTGGCTTCTGCTAGGTTTCTATGTAATGAGGTCACCATTTTTTCATTTCCAAATTGATTAATACTTTGTAGGGAGATATTCCTAGATTACCCATTATCTTGTTCATCAAACCTCTGCCTGGCCAACCTTAACCTCCACTGGTGACTTCTACCTAAACCACTGTGATTATTACCAAATAGTGCATTTTAAAATTTCCATTTTTCTTCTATATTTATCAATTGGCATTCTACTGTAAGGGAGAGATTTTCCTTCATTTTTTATTCATTTGTAAATATCAGTATGGACTCATGGATTTCTGTTATATTGTCTGGGTAGTGTTCTGTTGCTACGTATCATTATTTATTTTGATGTTCACCATTATCCCAGCCCCTTCAAACAGCCCCTGAACCCTTTTGACGTGTCCTCGTCATCCTTTGCACCCTTGCGTAATTCCTGGCATCAGATATTCTGGGTCTATTTTGTAGTCTTTCTGCCCCAGCCCTGGAATCAGCCATTCCTCCAAGGAACATTGGTTCATTTGAGTGAAGGATGGTATTTAGAAACCAGGACTCGGGTGTGTGGTGTGCTTATTGCTGCTAGGTCCACTCAGTGGACACAGGCTAGGAAATATATGTATGTACATGTGTGTATATATACTCGTATCTATAATTCTGCCTATATTTGTGTACATATATCTAAAAATCCATAACCGGAACTGGCCATTTACTTTACTTGGGAGAGCATGGTGCTGGTAACACCATGGCCAAGGGTTTGAATCCCCCTACTGGCCAGTCGCCAAAAAAAAAAAAACTATGACCATATCTTCAATTCCAGTCCAACACCTCAGGGCTCTTTCTAGCCTTCTACTTTTTCGTGATTGTGAATAACCTTCTCCAGCAGTAAGAAACCCGGCCTTCATTGTCCTCAATATATTATTTGCTCAGTCTCTTTACTTGCTTAATGTAACCAATCTCCCAACTGCTCTAACCATCACCTCCTGCTACCTTTGTTCCCACCTCCTCAGAATCCCACATCCGTGAGCAATGGTAGGCACACTGCCTTCACTGGACTCCCCACCCCCACCCCCTTCTTCCAGTTGGTCCAGGTCTGGTATGGCCAAAGCCATTAATTTTCTTCCGGGAGGATTTATTTTTAAAGAAGACCATTTACTAAGGAACTATAAATACAAATATAAGATTTTTATCTTACTCCTAGGTCAGAAATCATATATGTATTACTATTATCCTTCATATTAATATCCCTAGAATAGAACTTTCATTTCTTAGGCCTTTCAATAAATACAAATACCCATGACCTTAATGCTATAGGAACTCAAATTTCGAAATCAATTAAGAAAGTTAGATAACTGTAATGTTAAAATGTAATTACGTTAATCAACTACTATCAGAAAATGGTTTAGATATGACAGACAAGGCAATGTGAACTTTTCCTATAAACTTTATTCCAAATGTTGAAGTGAAAACCTTTTTTTTTTTTTTTTTTTGGCAGCTGGCCAGTATGGGGGTCCAAACCCTTGACCTTAGAGTTATATAACACTATGCACTAACTGACTGAGCTAACCTGCCAGCCCAAAGTGAAAACTTTTATTTAGATCCATGTATTTCCAGGTTATGTGGATCTTGTTAGAACCAGTTGTAACACAAAAAGTAAAGTAGTGTATTAGTTTCCTATTGCTGCTGTAGCAAATACTACAAGTTTAGTGGCTTAAAACAGTTCAAGTTTATTCTTTTACAGTTCTGGAGATCAGAAGTCTGAAATGGGTCTAACAGGCCTGAAATCAAAGTGTCAGCAGGGCTGCAGTTCTTCTGGAGGCTCTAAGAGAATACCTTCCTTGCCTTTTCTAGCTTCTTCAGGTTGCTTACATCCTTGGCTTGTGGCCCCAGTCAACAATCACATCACTGTGATCTCTGCTTTTGTTGTCACATTGCCTTGTCTGACCTTGATTCTCCTGCATCCATCTTTCACTTATAATAACCCTTGTTATTGCAGTGGACCCACCTGAATAATCCCCCATCTCAAGATTTTTAATCATGTCTCCAAAGTCCCTTTTGTCATATAAGGTAACATATTCACAGCTTCTGGGAAATGGAGACATGGACATCTTTGGGGTGGGGGCATAATTCTTAGCACGGGCACTAACACACTTACTGCCATGGGGGAAAACATAAGATTGCATTCTTTTAAATAAACTAAAATGTTAAGATTTCTCAGTGTCATTATATAGTACTTTTATCTTTTTGAAATATAAAAAGCATTTAATAAAAATTATCCAAATTTTCAATAAATGTTTTAGAAAAACAATATTCATAGTTGAATTTTTAACCAAAGAAGGAGAATGTAATTGGTTGAATGCTGC